CATGCCTAGGAAGGGACCAGAAGATATGCAGAAATGTGAGAAACACTTCCCGAAGTATAGGAAAGTGTGTAGAGGGCTTGGAGCCATGCAACCAACACGAAGGGCGATCTGATTCGTCTTGTTTCAAACATGAGGCAGCTGGGCTGATGTGACATGGGGGGGGCGCGCAGCAAGGTGGGGGGCGCGCTAGGCGCTGGCAGCGATTGTTGCAGCTCGAGAGATGCTTGGTGAGACAGCGAACACAGGAAGCTGAGGCAGGAAGTCTGAGGCCACACAGCCGGAAGCCTCTGTTGTTTGCTGATAAGGGCTGCTTGATGGGGAGTTTGAGGCTCAGCCCTAGCCCTGCGAGGGCGGTGGGCTTTAAATAGCTCCCCCAACTTCTGTCATGAAGGACGGGGAGGAGGGAAGGCTGGAGAGGGCGACTGGTGAAGAATGGGGACATGACTTCCTGTTTGGCCACTTGGAATCCCATGTATTGGGGACGAAGTAATCAGTCCGTTCCAGACCTCCAAGCGTCAGCTATTGTTTCCCTTTTTATCTAGAAAATGTACACACATACAGAGAGATTACAACAATAGCAAGACGAGGGACAGCAGGAAAGACTTGCTGGAGGAATCTCTCTGAAATATAAAATGGGGGCTCGATAAAAACAAGCCTGAAGCATACAATAGGGAGAAGCTATCTAAATTGTACATCTAGGCCAAGGGGCTTGCTCGGTGGCCCTCGCTATGTTTGGACTAAAGGTCCGTAATCTTATTTCCTGGCCAAGGGACTGGTCAGGAAAGGGATCTTGTTGTTGTATACTGTTCAGTGAAAAAAAATATATATTGACTCAGGATCTGGCTGCTGTGAAAAGCACAGATTCCATGGTGGGGATCATCAGGAAATGAGAATAAAGCTGCCTGTACAAGACAGGTGAGATTATATAACTGGAATAACGTATGTTTTGGTCATCATCCTTATGAAAGGGTATTATAGAGATGGAACACACAAAGAAGAGGGAAAGCAGAATGATCCGGGGAGGATCCTCTCTAAGGAAAGGTTACAAAGTTGAAGACTTGTTTTAAAAAAAAGACAATAAAGAAGTGGGACATGCATATAAAATGCATGGTGGGTGATTCAGAAACCATGGCATGAACCTCTTATCTATCATGCATGACAGGTTTTTGCTTGGATATGCAGAGTCTCTCTTTTACAACTTAGTATTTAAATATTTGTTTTTCAAAGGTCTTCAGAATTCTTCATTCTTCCCTTCCTCCCTTCCCTCTCTTTGATTTTCCTCGAACAGGAATATAATGCAAGAGCATTATCTTCTGAATTCCTGTGCAATTCCCTACAAGATAGCCATTGACTTGGATGGTTTCAAAACATAATAATGGAAATTTGTAGAGTGTAACAGAACCATTGCCAGCCATTTGGGAGCACCCGGGAGAATCTTCTGTGTCTCTCACCAGTTCTGGCCTGATGCATGGGCATTAGCCCTCCCTCTGCGCCCCCCCCAAATAAAAACGGAAGAAAAAGAGAAACGTAATGCTAAAGTCATAAAGATTTCAGTGGCCTCAAAATGTTGAGTTGCAAAGTCCCAGTTGCTCCACCTTAAACCCTGGAAGGTAAAGTTCTCAACAACTAACAATCCTGGGGTCATGGAAGCACTTACAGGAGGGTGTTGCCATGCTTATTTCCTGCTTCTGGGTTTTCCAAAGTGGGAACTGAAAGCTGGACTTGATAAGCCTTTGACCTGACCCAGTAAAGCTCTTCCTATTCTTTGTACAATCATTAACACACAAAGAGTAATATGTTTTAACCACTCAGAGGAAAACTTTAGGCCCATCCTGACACATTAAAAGAGGATTATACCTGTCCTTATCAGTACTGCTCTCCCAGAAGCCAGCGAAGGGCTAATGATTCCAGATCTTGGAAAGATTACAGTACTCGTTTGGACTACAGCTCCCAGAATCCCCTTGCCAGCATGTTTGCAACATTTAAAAAAAATCATACCACTGTATTCGATATAAACTCATCTGTCTAAACTACCATTCTAGGCGGTCAATTTTTTACTTTCTGGAATGATTCCTCTTTTTATCAACTGCAGTTAGAGGTTTAACAAGACAAATAAAGTCATCAGTCACCTCACCACATAGGGAGAAAGCTTCTCCTGCTGGACTTCTGCCTGTCACATTCAAGCACACATTAATAACATCAGCAAACTCTTAAACATTGGGTCTCCAGATGTTTTGGTCTGCAGCTCTGATAATATGTTACTATTGGCCAGGATGGGGTGGTGTTGGTGGGAGTAGAAGCAAGAAACATCTGGAGGCCCAAAGCTTCCCTACTTTGGGAAAACAACCACCCACCAATCAAGTAGACCAAACAAGAGAGTTTTCTCTTTTTTTGCCAAGAGTATTATTTATGGAATTCACTGTGCAGGTTGCCCAGTCTGCCTGAACACCTTAAAAAGGGGACTGCAAATCGAGGACAGATGTATTGATGGCTATTGGAAAGAGCAAAGCAATATGGACTGGCTACATGTTAGGCATTGCCGTGCCATGTTGAAAGGAATACCAACAAACAGAGAACTATCATGGGGGAGAATTATTGTCTGATGGACCGCCATGAGCTAACAAGAAGCTGGGCTAACCATATGCTCTTTGGTCTAATCCAGAAGGACTTTTCTTTTCTCCTATTAGTTCAGTATTACTTTTTTAGCACTATTGCGGGTGGGAAACTGTGGCCCTCTACTTAGCTAATAGTGAGGGGTGGAGTTGAGAGACAGGAGGTTGCAGAGTTCCTACCGGCTGTACTGCTCCTTAATGTGTCTGTGTAGCTTCACATTTTTTAAAAAATAGGCAATATCTCCCTTCCTTTTTATTTTGTTGCCTTATCTTGATGGGAGGTCAACACATCATTAAGGTACAGGAGCAAAGTCTGAAGAATACCGTATTTTTCGCTCCATAAGACGCACCTTTCCATAAGACACACCAATTTTTTAGGAGAAGAAAACAGGAAAATATAATCTGTTTTTTTCGCTCCATAAGACCCACAGACTTTCCACCCCCGTTTTGTGGGGGGAAAGAGCGTCTTATGGTGCGAAAAATACGGTACAGTACGTTGACAACTAGAAGCACAGCTTATGCTCTTTACCAGTACCACAGCATATTTACGTGCAGGTAGAACTGTTCCCCAAAAGTGCTCCATCAAAAACAATGGTATGTTTTCTTAATCACTTTGAAATTAGTTCGTCACATTTAGTTCTTGGCATATAAGCTCTGAAGGCTAAGCTTTTCTTCATGGCCTTCTGTCTCTTGCATATTAACACATTCTTCCTGAACCCGGTGTCTCGCAGACCTATTGAATGACATCTCCCATGCTGGCTGAGGATGATGGAAGCTGCAGCCCCATATACCGGAAGGCACATAGCCAGAGAAGTTTGCCTTAGGAGGTGATCTTGCTTAGCAATTTCTGCATAGTAAAAATTCATCTATAGGGCTATTAAAGGCACAGCGGTAGTGGATAAGGCCATTTATCTGATCAGTTGCTAACCGTAGAGAAAATTATTTTTAAAAGACTTCCTAAGTGTTATTTCTCGAAACAAAATAATTGTGTCTGTCCTCAGAGAAATACAAGAACCAATAGCTATACCGTAGCTAGCTAGAGAGCAGCCTTATCAAACATTGCCAGAAAATTCATCATAAAAATAGAACTTGATGTCACTATTTTGGAAAAGAAGCCAGACTGGACATGCAGAATAACACTGTATCTAAAATTATGGCTGTTCCAGAGGATATAATAGAGCAGACATTAAAAGAAGTGCGATTCAGGATTTTATGGACAGCAGAGGAGAAAGAAGACACTCATTTAACTTGGAAAGATTGTGGAGGAGAATTAAGCGTTTCTTCAAATAGTCCCAAGAACAGTCAAGAAGGCCAAAGGCACTGTGCAGGCTTGCTTGGGACCCCATGGCAGTTTCCTAGGAATGGGGCGGATTTAGCCTCTCCGTGGAGCTGGTCTCAACCGAGAACAGCTTTGTATTATATTTCTGAAAGCTACACTAGGCCAGCTCAAGTCAACACATCACTCCAAGCACTGATTCTGCTTCCCCACTGCCTATGGAGATGGGAACACAAAACCCCAAATGATTATGCATAATGACACAGATCTATTTTTCTCTGTGTGCATTTCTTTACGGTAAGGCTGTGGAGTAGGGCGAGCCAGAAACGTTTATCGCAATCAATCTGAAAGGATTAACACACACAAGCAAAACAAAATCAAAGCAAAACTCCATCCATTTCTCCAAGCCTGTCTTAAATTCTATATAGTTTTGAGTCGAAGGGGATTTGTTGACTAGCCAAGTTCAAAAAGCCTAGGGCTTCTGTGTACTTCAGTAGCTAGTTGAAAACCCTATTGAGAAACATTGGATGCCAGGAAAATAACAACAACCATAGGAAAAGTCATGCAGGATAAATCAGAATTAAAATTGCAACAATAACAGCGGCTAAAACCTGAAAGGGAAAAACGAACTGACCTCTTGTGGCAGAGAATCTCTCAACTTTTGGGGGAGAATTTCCTGTGTCGCCAGTATTTTGCATCCAGCTCTGAAATTTGAGGGTGTGGTAAGTCTCTATAGGAACGTTCTGCTCCCTGAGGGAGAGGGGTCTCTGCATCCATCATGGTGGGGATCCCAGTTACTTGTCAGTCCTTTTGGTCGGTCAGACTCTAGTGGAAGGGGCTCTTGACTTCAGATCTGAAGGCGTCTCTTGTGGTGGTTTGGTTTGGGTTTTTTAAGCTGAGAGACATCAACCGCCACGAAAGGGAAGGAAGAGGAAATTTTTTTGTACCAAAAGGAAAGAGCGGAGGGGGGCCCTGTTTCTGGAGCTGGGTGTGTATGAGAGAGAGAGAGAGAGAGAGGAACTGAACCAGCGACCAACACAGTGCAAGCTTGAGACAGAGAGAGAGAGAATGGGCTGAGCCCACAAAGCTGCAGGAACATCTCCAGAACTTACCTTGATGGAGCAATCCATCGCACGCGTCTACCTGTCGCTTTCCGGACTAGACCTCCATGGGCACTTTGCTGAGTTGCATTAGCAGGGGCTGTTCTTGCACGGGGGGCCGGATGAACGAGGCTTGTGTGTGTGTGTGCGTGTGTGTGTGTATGTGTGTCTAATTTTGGGAAGTGAAGTCACACAAACCGCTGAGGCTGGTTTCCTATTGGTGTGACCAAGCCTGCATGCTCCGAAACTTTAAAAAAAAAATAGCATCGTTGGTTTGCAAGTGGCTTTTCTCTCCCTCTCTTCATATTGCCAACAGGGATAAGAATTGAGGAGATCTTTAGATGAAAAGAGACATGGAGATTAATACAGAAGTTTAGCAAGACGGTCACAGAATAGCAAGAAAAAATATTACTTGTTTTTTCTCCTAAGGCCATTTCATATGAGTTTCAAGGCCATTTAGAAAATGTGATTGATAATCTTTACAGCTCTTCATGCAGGATCAGGAATGCTACTCTTGATTGTAAATCACGATCACCCAGAGTTTGGAAAAGTTACTTTTTTTGGAATACAATGTCTAGTGGAAAGCAATCTGGTGAAATCTGGGAAATACAGTCCAAACACGAAATTTTTATAAGCTCTGAACGCACATCCTAGCCTTCTTCACCTTTAGACGTTGATTCAAACATGCCCATGTCTGTCAGCATGGTGCCTTCTTAATATAAGAGTGTGAACTCCCAGGAGAAGCAGAGCGATGTGCTTCTGAAAATAACTTTTCACCTAAGTAGTTTTGGAGTCCAGTTCCCCTTGACAGGAGCTAAACTTGATGGTCCATAGGGTTCCTTCCAGCTCTACAGTTTGATGATGATGTTGATGATTGTTTTTAGTGTTTTTATCTTCATTTCTGTTTTTTAATGTATTTATTGTAAACTGCCCAGAATAGTGGCTCAATACTAA